TTACAGCTCAGCTCCCTCTTCACCACAGTGGACCGGCACAGAGTCCACAATACTGCAGCAGCTGCACCAATCTGTCTGTGAATCTCACGCTCCATTCTTCCCTCACTGTGAATAAAACCCTGAGACACTCGAACTCCTCCACTGGAGGCAGAACCTGAAGAGAACCATCCACCTCCATCATCATTATTGATCCCATCACTGGTGACGTTTCTGATCAAAGTTTCGTTTGTTTCTCTCCTTCACTTTCAGGACGTTCCATCCGTAGCAGAAATGGAATAAAATGACAAAAGTAATTATTTTTTAATCTTTTGTTTTCAGGCTTAAATAAACAATGAAAATTCAAAAAACATTTGTACAGCTGAAGTGTTGCTACTTTTAGCTGTTTAGTTTTAGCTAACATTTGTAAGCTTCTGCTTTGCTACTTAAGTTTTTAGTGTTTTGCTACAGTTTTAGATGTTTTTCATAGTTCAGCTTCTATTTTTAAAATGTGTTGTGCTAATTTTATCTTTTAGCTCGTGGCTACTTTTATTTAGCGTTTTTGTTCTTCCAGCTTCCATTTGGAGCATTTTAGTTCACGTCTCTTCTCCTTTTAGCTTCTGTTTGTAAAGTTATTCTGTCTCATGCAGCAAACTCTATTTTCATAGAAAATGTCATTACTCTTTGTCAGAAATCCATCCAGGGTTTTAAATCTCTCAAATTCAGCTAATTAACAGCGGAGAGCAAAGATCAGTAATTTGTTAGTCATATAATTTCAGCCTTATTGATTATAGAACATGGCCCACTGCTCTTCAGCGTCTCTGAGTGTTGGATCAGATGCGTGGTTCTGGTTCTGTCCCCTTGGTGTTGGACCGGATACGTGGTTCTGGTTCTGTCCCCTTGGTGTTGGACCGGATGCGTGGTTCTGGTTCTGTCCCCTTGGTGTTGGACCGGATGCGTGGTTCTGGTCCTGTCCCCTTGGTGTTGGACCGGATGCGTGGTTCTGGTCCTGTCCCCTTGGTGTTGGACCGGATGCGTGGTTCTGGTCCTGTCCCCTTGGTGTTGGACCGGATGCGTGCTTCTGGTTCTGTCCCCTTGGTGTTGGACCGGATGCGTGCTTCTGGTTCTGCCCCCTTGGTGTTGGACC